CATCATCGACAGAGGTTCGGTCATTTTTAAAACGTGAATGCCACACCAAAGTTTGTGCACGACCCATTGCGGACTCCCCAAATGCTTGCTTTAGGATTTCATAGGTTTCCGTAGCCGTTTTGGCGAGTCTTTGGCAAAATTTGATGCACACGCCATTCCGAAATCGCAGGAGGGTCGGTGTAATGCACTACCAAAACGCCCGTAACTGAGAAACAAATGCTAATTCGATGATGCCAGCTGGCACACTGATTTACTATGAATGTAGGCTGCACCCCCTAGCGGCAGAAGCTCGTACTACATCCGGTTCGCCCTCTATTGACACAGTCTTGAAACTTTCCGTTCGCACCTCGTATGTAGTGATTCGACTTTTAATCATACACTTTGTCCACATACAACAGTTCTATCTAATACAAATGAGCTCGAAGATCTTAGTTCCTGATAAGGGAATAGTCTAACCAACAAGTTTTTGTTCCCGACAAAAGCAGTATTTTAGCACGTACAGAATTTATCGTCTAGGGCCTAGCATCCTATTAATTAGTTTTGTGAACATCGGTTTATTTGATGCCTGCACATCATAGTAATAATTTTGACCAAGCTCGTTACGCCATTTTTCATGAAACGAGACGTCAAAGCAGGTATTTACTGCTCAAAAGCATTCTGCTCGCCATTGTTCACTCCATTTTCACACACATACATTGTTCACGCCGTAGAACAACAAGGAACTTTTATGTTATATGACAGTTCTGTGCAGAGCATGCGCAGAGCGTGTTTTACTAATCGTCGAGATAAATGACGCTGACAATGTCAATGGGTCTTTTCTGTGAGGGTAGAGCGGAAGGAACATGATGCTGACCATTCTGTTGTCGCGGAGGCAAAAGTCATATGACATAAATTACACCACAGTTTGAATATGTACTGGACAAACAGCTATATTAAGTTTACATTTCCCAATTTAGAATTTTTATGTTCTCGAAACTGAGCTATTCATATTCCACTGCATATTCCATTCAAAATATTGTTGTCTACACTAATGAATATATTTATAAAAGGGGTACTTTTACAAACTATCTACTGAATCACTGTATCCTATCGTATTGACGTGATAAAAATTACCGACAATCTGTTGGAACGTTCTGCCTTACTCTTCGCGGCTGAGGGAAAGGTAATATCGAAAAACCTGGAGAAATACTAAACAAGGTTCTTCGAAACTCTACACTGAATACGGAGATCTGTAAGAATCTAAAGTAACACGTAAGTTGATATCTCATTACAACTAGTATACTGTGAATTCTGTCTTGAAATATTATAAATGAAGCCACAATAAATCCAGCTCTTTATTAATTAATATCTTCGGTCTAAGTGGAGAGAGGTAAAATTTAAGACAAAGACAGGTTTATTTTACATGACTTCGAAAAACATGCAGCAATAGGAAACTGGGATTATTTTATAGGGGGGCTACAAAATTAATAATCAACGCTTTTCTACGTGAGAACATTTATGGGTTACTGTAATAAATGTAATAAATCATTTCATGAAGTAATCTACTTAACTAATTCCACAAAGTGGAGCTCTTGAACAGAGAACAGTAGCTCAAATATACAACATTGTAGGGGAACATTTTACAAATCAATCCGTATTTTCCAATAAATCTGCAGATCGTAACAAATTCGGTCGATATTCCACCGCATTTATTCAACACACTTGCTATGTACCGAGTCTTTCTTTTAGAGAACATTAAATTTTATCTACATGTAAATTGGGAGTTGTATTGAGCAGAAGTAAACCAAATTAAGACTTCTTAACAGACATGCTGACAAATTTAATGAAGTATCAGATTATTATTTTCTAAGATAAATCATACAAGAAGCAAGATAACGTGATATGTACGTCACAGTAATTGCCATGCAGTTTAGTGGTAATCAAACTATATAACCTGTCTTACCATTAAGTATGTGCACAGACACAGTAGCCGAGGCGAGACTTCCTACAGCACACGTGTAGTTTCCGGAGTGCTGCTTCAGGGCATGGTCTACTGTCAGGGTGGTGACCACAACGCCAGTCCCCAGACTCGCGTTTATACTGAAAAGTAAAGGAAAAAGATGAATGTTAGGCTAGACTCCAGTGACGGCTTCTGTGAACACAGATCCAGCTAAGTGACGACTGGCTCTTAAGGAATGAACCACGGAATTAATAAAGTTTTATCTTTTTTAAAATGTTAAAATAATGCCGGGATCACAGTCACTTTCGATAGTCCCATGACATGGCCCGAGAACTGAGATTAGTTTTTCGAAATATATTTTTAAAAAGTTGTTTTTTAGTCCTGCCTTGCGGTATCGTAGTTACGTTTAATATTTTGAGGTTTCCTATAATCGCCGTCGTGAAATACTAGATACCCTAAATGATTATATTCTGGATTTTGGCGCCTTATATAGTGGTCCGTAGATGACGACGTTTAGGAGGAACGCATTATCGTTATCTTAATTGCAATGGCAAGGCATAAAAGAATGTATTTTACAAAACTATATTTGTGTGACACCTCACTGGACGTTGATTGCACAGGAGTTGGTGTATTATCTAAATTGAGTAATTAGCTTATATTTCCACTGGTTTGATTGCCGTTGTTGGTCTACGGTGAGCCGTGGTTGCATCGTCTGTGCCTGTGAACGTCAACTATGCGTGGGCGTTACTGTCAGTTTTTAAAATGTGTAGGGTATATATAAAAAACTCTGAAATCAGGGTGACCAACTATTGCATATGAAATTTATTTATTTTTGTTTATTTTTGGTTAGAATTTTTCTAAAATGTCAAGAATTTTACTTTTCGAGGCTATTCTTAACACGTTCATTATATCTTCCATGGGGCCTTATTCACGTCCGTGGTCGAGGATGTGTTGGGCGTATTTCGATTTTGTTAAGTCGAATCTAATGTCGTGGACATGTTCTTTAAATCTGGTTTTAAATTCCCTACCGGTTTGGCCAATATAGACCTGCTCGCAGCTTCCCCATTTTAACTGAGGTACACCACTTTTATTGTATTTATTATCTTGTTTCTTTGAATTGCATCTGAATTTTATGGCGTTATTGACTTTGTAGGCTACTTTGAAATTCGTGTTTTTGAATATTTTGGTGAGTGTTCTAAAACTACTGTAAAAGAATGTGAAACTGGACCATATTTTACTATTTGTGGTGGGTTAGGGTACAGTGATAGGAGGTTTAGACTATAGGATCTTATATCTCTGGAGTTGTAACCGTTATTGTATCCTATTTCTTGGATAAGCTTTGTTTCTTTATCAAACATTTCTTTGGAAATTGATATTTTGTTTACAAGGAAATTGAATGCAGTATGTCTGAGAATGTGGGATTCCTGTAGATGCCCAATTGGAATTCTTTTGTGTCTATGGATGGTGAGGTTTAAAAAGTTAATTTTATTTTTATATTTCCAGGTTGTATTTTAACTTTTTGTGCATGTTATTATAGTCATCCAGGATGTGTTTCTACGTATTCAAGCGATATAATTTATATGTCGTTGTTTGATTATGTTTGGGTAAAATTTAAGTAAGTACCCAATATAATACACCAAATCCTGTGCAATCAACGTCCAGTGAGGTATTACATAAATATGTTTTCGTAAAATACATATCTTTTATGCCCTGTTAAATTCCATAATCTTTTTGATTTGTTTTATATGATTTAACTTGTTCTTTTGCCACTGACGATGACCTCTTGAGGTCTAAACGCGTTTGGCATTAGCGTCCTTCAAAGTGTAAACAGTTTTGTTTGTATACATACCTTATATTTCAATACACTACGCGGTTTGAAAGGTTTTAAGACTGTTCGGATGAATTCATTAAAAAATATCTGATAACAGATATGGGTCTGTACACACTACAAAGGAAATTTTTCAAGCGGAAAGTGTTGAAGAAATGAAATACAAACAAACATAGAAAAGTTTATATTCCTCTGGAGGTAGGATTTATTAATGGCTGGCCTACACTCGATTGAAAGAATTCTCCCCAAACAGATGAAAACAGTAGGCCTACACAATTTAAGCTTCCGTGCGATGTACAGAATGCATTTACTGCACAGAGTGCACTGCACTCAAGTCGTAGTTACAGCTGGGATTATTTCGACTACACTTTATATTGTCCTTTCTTGACAAATCTAGACTTCGAAAACTAGCTTCTTCATCTTTTTCTCTGATCCCTTGTTTTTCTTCCTTTCTTCTGTTCTCTCTTGCATTTTTTGTTTCTTTCTTTCATCCTCCAATCAATACGAAGCCATTTACTTGATAATACATTATATAAACCAACCGAAAGCTCCTAAACTATTGCAAGGTCAACTGGCAACCTGCGGTCCTCGCAATTCTTTATACGACCCTTCACACTATCTGAGAATTAGCCGACGAGAGACGGGTAAACAATTTATGATACTGAAGGGAACATTTATATAAATGTACATATAATATCTAAGAATAAGGTAAAACAATATGAAAAAGTAATGTGATAAAATTGTTGATGTAGGCCTAAAATATTAAAATGGTTTTTGGGGACATTTTGTCCGATTAAAGTAATGAAACTTCCAGTTCTAATGCCGGCGAGTTAATTACTTCTTCGCCTATGAGGTATTACCGCAACGTATGACAATTTAGAAATGTGCTAGTCAGGCAGACAAAATGCTTCCAGCTCTCATGTGGAGGCCTGTAGGATAGCTCTTCTTATCCCTTGTAATTAGCATTTGACAGCTGACAGTACCGAAGGCTACCGGAAAATTAAAGGGAACATCTGACCTGGGTCCAGGGACAGAACCAAGTGGCTTCTTGCACGACTCGTACAGGCTTGTCCATAATGTAATTAACGGTTGCATCATTTATATGGTTAGTCATGTTGTCATGGTTACAGAATTACTGTTTAATGCCACTATTAAATGTCGAAAATAAACCCATTCACTGTTACGTGTTCTGTTTGTCAAAGATTAATTGCACAAAAAAAAAAGTTTTGGAAGTGTCCACCACGTTCAGCAATGCACGCATTCACATTTTTCCTATGTTTGATTCAACAAGACGAAGACTTCATGCAGTGACTGGAAACGGTTTACCTAACGAGATATAGTCGATTAGTGTGGCACAAGAGAATCGAGATATGTATCCTTAAACTCATTCCGGTAAACAAGAACGAGATGCCAGGTAGTGTTCGACCACGACTAGTTGCACCCGTGAAAGATATATATATGGAATTTTTCTAAAATGTCAAGAATTTTACTTTTCGAGGCTATTCTTAACACGTTCATTATATCTTCCATGGGGCCTTATTCACGTCCGTGGTCGAGGATGTGTTGGGCGTATTTCGATTTTGTTAAGTCGAATCTAATGTCGTGGACATGTTCTTTAAATCTGGTTTTAAATTCCCTACCGGTTTGGCCAATATAGACCTGCTCGCAGCTTCCCCATTTTAACTGATGTACACCACTTTTATTGTATTTATTATCTTGTTTCTTTGAATTGCATCTGAATTTTATGGCGTTATTGACTTTGTAGGCTACTTTGAAATTCGTGTTTTTGAATATTTTGGTGAGTGTTCTAAAACTACTGTAAAAGAATGTGAAACTGGACCATATTTTACTATTTGTTGTAGGTTGGGGTATATTGATGGGGGATTTAGGTGTTTTAATTAGGTGATAGGATCTTATGATATCTCTGGAGTTGTAACCGTTATTGTATCCTATTTCTTGGATAAGCTTTGTTTCTTTATCAAACATTTCTTTGGAAATTGATATTTTGTTTACAAGGAAATTGAATGCAGTATGTCTGAGAATGTGGGATTCCTGTAGATGCCCAATTGGAATTCTTTTGTGTCTATGGATGGTGAGGTTTAAAAAGTTAATTTTATTTTTATATTTCCAGGTTGTATTTTAACTTTTTGTGCATGTTATTATAGTCATCCAGGATGTGTTTCTACGTATTCAAGCGATATAATTTATATGTCGTTGTTTGATTATGTTTGGGTAAAATTTAAGTAAGTACCCAATATAATACACCAAATCCTGTGCAATCAACGTCCAGTGAGGTATTACATAAATATGTTTTCGTAAAATACATATCTTTTATGCCCTGTTAAATTCCATAATCTTTTTGATTTGTTTTATATGATTTAACTTGTTCTTTTGCCACTGACGATGACCTCTTGAGGTCTAAACGCGTTTGGCATTAGCGTCCTTCAAAGTGTAAACAGTTTTGTTTGTATACATACCTTATATTTCAATACACTACGCGGTTTGAAAGGTTTTAAGACTGTTCGGATGAATTCATTAAAAAATATCTGATAACAGATATGGGTCTGTACACACTACAAAGGAAATTTTTCAAGCGGAAAGTGTTGAAGAAATGAAATACAAACAAACATAGAAAAGTTTATATTCCTCTGGAGGTAGGATTTATTAATGGCTGGCCTACACTCGATTGAAAGAATTCTCCCCAAACAGATGAAAACAGTAGGCCTACACAATTTAAGCTTCCGTGCGATGTACAGAATGCATTTACTGCACAGAGTGCACTGCACTCAAGTCGTAGTTACAGCTGGGATTATTTCGACTACACTTTATATTGTCCTTTCTTGACAAATCTAGACTTCGAAAACTAGCTTCTTCATCTTTTTCTCTGATCCCTTGTTTTTCTTCCTTTCTTCTGTTCTCTCTTGCATTTTTTGTTTCTTTCTTTCATCCTCCAATCAATACGAAGCCATTTACTTGATAATACATTATATAAACCAACCGAAAGCTCCTAAACTATTGCAAGGTCAACTGGCAACCTGCGGTCCTCGCAATTCTTTATACGACCCTTCACACTATCTGAGAATTAGCCGACGAGAGACGGGTAAACAATTTATGATACTGAAGGGAACATTTATATAAATGTACATATAATATCTAAGAATAAGGTAAAACAATATGAAAAAGTAATGTGATAAAATTGTTGATGTAGGCCTAAAATATTAAAATGGTTTTTGGGGACATTTTGTCCGATTAAAGTAATGAAACTTCCAGTTCTAATGCCGGCGAGTTAATTACTTCTTCGCCTATGAGGTATTACCGCAACGTATGACAATTTAGAAATGTGCTAGTCAGGCAGACAAAATGCTTCCAGCTCTCATGTGGAGGCCTGTAGGATAGCTCTTCTTATCCCTTGTAATTAGCATTTGACAGCTGACAGTACCGAAGGCTACCGGAAAATTAAAGGGAACATCTGACCTGGGTCCAGGGACAGAACCAAGTGGCTTCTTGCACGACTCGTACAGGCTTGTCCATAATGTAATTAACGGTTGCATCATTTATATGGTTAGTCATGTTGTCATGGTTACAGAATTACTGTTTAATGCCACTATTAAATGTCGAAAATAAACCCATTCACTGTTACGTGTTCTGTTTGTCAAAGATTAATTGCACAAAAAAAAAAGTTTTGGAAGTGTCCACCACGTTCAGCAATGCACGCATTCACATTTTTCCTATGTTTGATTCAACAAGACGAAGACTTCATGCAGTGACTGGAAACGGTTTACCTAACGAGATATAGTCGATTAGTGTGGCACAAGAGAATCGAGATATGTATCCTTAAACTCATTCCGGTAAACAAGAACGAGATGCCAGGTAGTGTTCGACCACGACTAGTTGCACCCGTGAAAGAGGCATCCTTGCACTTGGACTGTTGAAAAGACAGCCGACGGACTGGTGCGAACGGGTTGAAACATGACGTGGCCTACGTGATCTCTTGTATTATAACAGCGATATTAGTGTGTTATTAATCCATTTGAATTGTACTGAAATGCAACCAAAAAGTGTTTTAGTATATGTTTTGTGACCTTCCCAGTATTGTCAGGGTGATTAAGTCGAGAAGAATGAGATTGGCGGGGCATGTAGCGCGCATGAATGGGACAAGAGGTGTGCACCGGGTATTGGTTGGGAAGCCTGAGGGGAAGAGACCACTGGGGAGACCTAGACGTAGACGGGAGGATAATGTCAGGCAGGATCTATGGGAGACAGGAGTTGAAGGAGACTGGATTTTGTTGGCCCAGGACAGGGTCCGGTGGAGGGCTTTGGTTAATTCGGTGATGAACCTTCGGTGTCGGTAAGCCATCTAGTTTTGTGACCTTTCAATAATTCTGTACCAAGTTTCGTGAAGTGACCTTAGATTTATGGGTCAGCCCGACATGACGAGGAAACAGCGGAATTATTCGCCTAAGTCCACTCTAAAAAGCTTCCTGTACAAATATTTATTTTCGGATAATGTTTACCACTCCGGCTCAAATGCAGGGTTTAAAGCAAAAGTCCCAATGTGCGGATCAGGAAGGATTATAGAATCGTGTTTCTACATCTGCTAAGCGTAGAAATGATTCCATTGTTAGTCTGTGAGTGGAGTGAGTTGGTCTCCTCGTGTCGTGGAGAAGTTTCCATCACGAGACCACAGTGCCGGACAGTTCTCCTTCTGGGAATTGGAAAAAGTACGCCGTTGGGAACGATAAAAGTAAAAATCATTAGCTGTTGTGGTGCGCCATCCGCTAGAAACAAGCCTGCCAACATCCCTAAACGAGATTTGTGGTAGACCTGATGACTAATGCATAAATCTCCTTTTATCACAGTGGAGAAACTGCCTTCTCTTCGATGCATCTCACATCAACATTCAAAGCACAAACAGGTCTACAGTTCGAGACATCAATACTATAAAGAAAAACACAAAAATTCCATTAGGTACCCGTAAATGCTGAGAAGTAAGAGCGGGTTGGCGTATCATCACCAGAATGCAGAAAAAATAATTTAATACGAATGGCAAATGGGCCTAAACCCTTCGAAAGTACAGAAAATTAAAATATAATATTTAGGAATAATTTAAAAAGAATATTAATTCTATGAATATTAACTGTGTACAGTACAGAAAAGTATGTCTTCCGACCTCCTAACAGTGATAATATTAAAAAATTACCACACTTTAATGTAACGTGTGTGAAATGTGTCAGTTTTAAATAGTACTGATCATGGTATGTTACAATCTGGATTACTAAATTCTTGAACTTTGTCCATCGTCTGGTTTAAAAAAAACACGACGTTTCGGAAGCTGGATCTGCTTCCATCCTCCGTCCAGTGATTGAGGCTAGCCCTTTCAGTCGGACCAATCTGAGTAGGTACTCCACTCCCCCTTTTTAACCTGTGGACGGAAGCAGATCCAGCTTCCGAAACGTTGTGTTTTTTTTAAACCAGACGATGGACAAAGTCCAAGGATGTAGAAATCCCGAGTGTGAAATGTGGTCTCCCACTCTATGTTAAGAACATTAATTAAACGTGTGTGATTTTGGAATTCACGGCGATGAGGATGATAAAGTTCTTCTCGGTTTTGGTGCCATGTAGACTTGTTGGTAGATGCCATTTTTAGGGCTTCAACACTGAAAATGAGGACTATCGGTTTCTCCAAAAAGCTGGCATCTACCGATGAGTCTACATGGTGCAGAAAAACAGAAGAAGATCATTATTGATTAAACGTGGGTGAACAAAGTGCTGGCATCTACCGATGAGTCTACATGGTGCAGAAAAACAGAAGAAGATCATTATTGATTAAACGTGGGTGAACAAAGTGCTGAGTAAATTGTTTGGACGCAAGAGAATGATTAGCTCCAAAATTCGTAGTTCTCACCAGATATTTCAATGCCTTCAGATCAACGGAGGTGCTGTGGGTCTATGGGCGCATGGGGAAGTGGCGAGGATATGCCAAAATAGCGGACTGTTGTAAACACGGTAATGGACTGTCGGTGTCCACGAAAGACAGGAAGATTATCTGAGTGACAAGAAGCTTATCAAAATGGAATTTACTATACAAGGTTCGTTTACGTAGTAAAAGATTTCGGGAAGACTATTCAGTAAAGAAAGAGGCTATGGGACAAAGGACCCGTGTTTTATTTACTATGTCGAGACCGGCGCTGGTACACAACCAGCCTCACCCGGGGCCCTTTACGTGGTGTAGAGCTTTGAGATATGAACGTATTTCACACGTGTACTAACAAAATGTAACTTAGGTGTTATCTTCAGGTTTGTGGTTTCTCGGCCTGTGACCCATACAGCTGCTCGTAATGCTTTACAGGTTTTACCAGGCACAACGTTCATTTAGCTAATTAAATTACGATTAATCCCAAGTTTCAAGAATGAATTTATTCTGTGTGATTTGCAAACCAGAGTCATGGATTTTCAAAGGCCTAAAACAGATTTACAGGAAAGAGGGAAGGAAATAAAGTATGTGTACATTTGTGTGTATAGAGCTTAGCAAAGTTTAAATCAGTTTATTTTCGTTCATATGATTTGACGTTAAGTTAGGCTTCGTAATAATGTGTTGCTTTGTTGTCTTAAACTAAGCTGAGCTAAGCTTGGCGCAAGGTGTGGCCCAGACTTCTCTCAGGTTTAATTCAAATTTGTCTGGAATTTATCTAAAGCTTGGCTCACCTTACCTCAGCTCAGTTTAGGACAGTTTAGTTGGTTTCAATTTAAGTGAATTTATATCATGTTACATTACGTTAGGTAAACTTGTGTTGTGTTGTGTCAAGTTTAGCCAAAGCTTGCCTCATCTGAGCTTAGCTCAGTTTAACTCAGCTTATTTCAGTTTAATTCAGTTCACATGGTTAGGCTGGATCAGGTTATGGTAGGTTTGGTTAGGCTAAGTTGTGTTTTATTGTGGTAAGTAAAGTTTGGTTGAAACTTGAAAGAAGGTCCGCTCAATCCTTACGCAAGCTTTGCTCTCTTAGCTCAAGCTTAGTTCAGTTTAGCTCAGGTTTTTCAGTATACTTAAGTTTAGTTCACTCCTGTTCTTAGGAATGCAGAATGATAGAAAAGCTACAAGTAAGATTTCTATTTCACATGGTCGCGAGTACGAAGACGGCTGAGTTTGGTTTGTTACCAGTGTTTTCATCACCTTGATGGAGGCAGCAAGCACATCTTAAAAGTAGGTGGACTTCTACAAAACTACACAGCGCAATAACCCAGAGGGCAGCCATCTTCAGAGTTGCGAGTATTTCGGTGGGACGTGAGATTTGTCCACGAGTTCTTATACACTCAAGTGAGTACTGAGCAATTCAAGGCCACAGGTTACGTCCTATAAACCTTGCTGTAGATAGATGAATTGATAACAGATAGATAGACAGACAGGAATACAACCAGCTTTCCAATCCAAAGATGCAATATTATAGTTTAAATTTTAAGGTTTTAATTATTTAATTTGTAGCGGTGATTATAAGTAATTTTGCATATGTACAATTTTCAGAATGACAGGACTATTCAAACAAAGCTTCAATTGTAAGGGCTGCAGTATTTAATTAATTAAAACCTTCTTTGAGATTCCTCTTCACGTTTCTCTTTGTATGATTACAATGAATGGCTGAACAGAAGCTCTGTTTTAGACACATCACGGCAAGGAATTAATTTCCCCCTGCAGTTAGCTGCTGCTTAATACCGTTTACCTGCGAATTTTTGACTTTAAAAGGTTCTCCTGTTCTCGTTCCAACCAGCGACATTTGCAATTATGAAAGATGTGGACATTGAAGTCTGGGATGACGTCTGGTCTATGTATTGAAGAAAACTTTAGGCCTACATTCAGTCGGTGAGTTAAGTCCAGTAACAAAATCGTCATGGAATCCAAAAGAATTTAATACAAGATTTCTACAGACTACACAGATTTACCTAAATACAATATAAACAAGACAAGATTCTAATTACTGGATGTCTGTATAGTAAGGAAATTGGCATATGAGGAATGATGTTTTCAATGTTTCAAACTCATTTAGGCTTAAGTACGATATTACTAGAGGAAAATTGTACACAAAAATTAACCTCTTTCCTCCTAACAGGCACCAGGTACCACCACGTCATTCAGTCATCATGGATACAGTTTAATCGCGAGAGGTAACAGGCATGTTTATGCAACTCCACAAAGAAAGCGTTCCCTCCCAAGTCCATATATGCAAGTTCTTATGTACCCTATGTTCTATTATTTGTCGTTTGTTTCATACACTTTACCTTATTCCCTTGGAGAGGGGGGTGTCACCGTGACGCCAGGTGACGTAGTCGCCTGGTTCCTCCACCTGCGTCGCGAGGCACGTAAGTTCCACAGCACTTCCTGCTTTGTAGTATCTCTCAGATACCTCGTGGTTATTCTCATCCATAATCGCTACCTCTGGAGCTGGAAAAAAAAAATCCAAACACTGCGCATTTCACCATCATGTGTTGAAGAACCAAATTAAAAAATGTTGAATCCGCGGATCAGGAGTTTAGGGAACAACCTGAAATAGCCAATTACGTAACTCACCGACCATGTTGGAATATAGTTCAGTGCACAGATTAAGTGTGAGTCAACAACTTGAAAGTTGTGAAGTTCCTCGATTATTTGTTAAACAAAGAAACTGAAATATTTTTTAATGCTCAAATAAAATGTTTATTAAACGGTTTGGAAGAAAGATTGTTTAACGTTCGGAAAACTTGTTTAGCAATGGACTTGATGTTGGAAAATTTTCTAAACATGTATTTTAGCAAACAGTTTTATTGTGTCTGTAATGTACTGCTCTTGGAACGTCTTCCTCCATCTACTACACGCTTGGAGCTGGGGTTAACGCCTCTGGTTCGTATTCCGGAAATGGCTCAATTCACGACCCAAGAACTAACATCCTGTCTCGAGTGTTTCCTAGTTATCCTCAACGTATCCATCAAAAAGTATGCAGAATAGTTATAATTCCGATTCTGAACCATGTACTTACAAAATTTAGCCGATTGGTTGCAATTACATATTAGAAATTGAAATACTCTCTAAGTTAGCCCGACATATCTCGGCGTTATATTCGCCATCTTCAGTGGCTTTACGCTCCGTAAGCTATTACATTATTTTGTACCAAGAATCAAAATTAATCTTAATTTACAAATTACATAAATAGTTTCTAAATCATCGCCCTGATGACGGAGGCAGTATGACCTCTGAAACGTTGGTTAACATCGACCACACTACACAGCGCAACAACCCAGAAGATAGAAATCTTCAAAATATTTCTTGTAGTTTAGTATAGTATTTATCTTACATCAGACCAAGATGGAAACAGTATGTTCTTCCGAAACGCCGATATCTAACTATAAGTCCACATTCCATTACATCCCAAGTGACAAACATCGACATGTTCAGTGCCGTGAGAACGTCAAATCTAACATAATTTTCGTTTGAATGGGTTCAATAAATCATCAGACAAAGAAAGATTTCCAGGGATGCTTCCAGGCTTGGCAGCGTCGCTGGGATCGTTGTGTTCACTCCCAGGGGAACTACTTCGAGGGTGATGGATGAATTTAATACCTGAGATAAGTGTACAGGTTTTTATACGCGCAGTCTGGAAACTTTCCGATCGCACCTCGTATAATCGGATGACTCTACATAATGTGGGTACGTAACATACACTGTAAAATGTATCATTCTTATTTGAAGTATTTCCGATATGAATTTATAATGAAATATAAAGGAATACTTTTTTCGATTTACAACTTGCTTGTCAACAGGATGCCTGTTGTTTTTACATTACAAAATTATATGTCTGTCTGTTAGTAAAGTATTACACAAGCTGTATATGACAAAAGAATTACAAAAATTGACTCGAATTTAGAAAACATACCCATGCATGTAAATTATGGACCAATGCAAATTCACTAATAAGGACCAAAAGTAAATAATATATATATATATATATATATAAACACGTAATACAGAGGAATACATAGTTCCATTCTTATTACTGTTGAGATGTACTGTATTTATAAGTTTACTTTACACCTGAAGATGGTTCAATGTAACCGAAACATGTAGTAAAAAGATGTACCAAATATGTAAATGATATTTGAATATCTTATGTATAAATTTTATTTATATACAATTGTGATTAGACGGAAAAAAACACGAATAATTGTACTGTATTTGTGAAACAGACTATAAAAGATGGCCAGGAACTTCATTCCTATATTCACTAAGATATGATATTGATTTAAAAGTTAATAGCAGGGTACAAGCATGCTTACATTTTGGAAAACAATTCTATAACAATGTTTAGACCGCGTCCCCGATAAATCATGTTTATTAGCCAACGGCTTGTTCTGCAACATAATCACAATCCACTATCGC